TCCCTCCCTCTCCCCAGGTAGAGGTGCGCTTCCAGAGCCTCAGCAACGCTGCTCCTGGGCCTCAGTGGTGCTGCACCGCCACCCAGGTCGTTCCTGAGATGGGGGCCTCAGGGGAGGGCGGCCCAGCACCCCTCTGTGCAGCCAGCCCGAAATCCACTCAGACCCACCCAGCAGCAGGGCACGTCGGGGAGGCCAAGAGATGCAGGAGGCCAGCCAGCCAGCCAGACGTGTGAGGACAGACAGGCGTGTGTAGAGAATGACATACAGACTGGAGGGAGTAGGGAAGGGTAGGCAAACGATCTATCCATGGAAGGCCAATGAGACAGTTTGGTCAGAGGCAAGGCAGGGCACTGTGGCAGGGAACCTTGTCATGACCATTGGGAGGGACAAGCCTGGCATGGCCTCCGACTCCGAGTTGCCCGCAGGCAGGTGAGTTCTGTGGAGCGCCAGGGTGTCAGCTAGGCCTCAGCCTTCCTCTCCGAGCCACCGCCGTGCCTATGCCCCTCCCCCTCCCCCACCCTGTGCTCTCTGTACCCCTTCCCCCAAAACCTTGGGCTCGGAGCTGGGCCCTAGCAGATACATGCTGCTTCAACGGGGTACCTGACTCAAACTATAAGAGAACATTTATTTGGAAAATCACAGAGGTTGAAGAAGTAATTCGTAGAAAAAAATGGGCTTCAGAAAGAAGTTATAGAGGCAAAGAAAGGGCCCTGGGAGCTTAGAAGTGAGGCAGGTAAAAGTGCGGTGCCTTGGGGGAGGGGGAGGGGAAGGAGGAGGGGAAGGCGAGGGGTGCTCCCGGGAGGGGGAGCACATTGACTAACTCCCTCCTAATGGCTTTAAGGGTGGAGATTTTAGAGGAGGTCCTAGAGGAAGATTTCAATAGAGTATTCAGCAGCTTTCCAGTATGAGAATGATGTCTCACCAAATAGAGAATATCAACAAAGAGGTAGAAATTATTTAAAGAGAACCAAATAGAATTCTGGAGTTAAAAGTACAATAAGTGAAATAAAACATTCACTAGAAGAGTTTAAGAGCAGATGTGAGTTAGCTGAAAAAAGGACCAGCAAATTTAAGGGTAGGTCCATTGAGATTATCTAGCCTGAGGAACAGAAAGAAAAAAATGAAGAAAATGTATAGTGCCTTAGATACCTATTGGACATCAGCAAGCATTCTAATATATGTATAATTTGAGTCCCACAGGAGAGGAGAGAAAGAGGCAGAAAGACTATTTGAAGAAATAATGGCCCCAAACTTCCCAAGTTTGGTAAAAATATTAATCTATACATCCCAGAATTTCAGTGAACTCTAAGTAAAATAAAAATTTATCTTGAATTTGGTCTAGACACATCATATTGAAACTATTGAAAATCAAATACAGAGGGACTATTGAAAGCAACAAGAGCTAAACAACTCATCACATACAAACTTTCCTCAATAAGATTGACAGCCATTTCTCCTCAGAAGCCAGGGAAGCCAGAAGACAGTGGGTTGACCTTCAAAGTGCTAGAAGAAAAAGCCTATAAACCAAGGAGTTTATATCTGGCAAAACTATCCTTCAAAAATAAAAGAGAAATAAAGACACTCATAGATAAACAAAATGGTGAGAATTTCTCACTAGCAGATCTTCCCTACAAAAAATACTAAAGGGAGGCCTTTAGGCTGAAATGAAAAGACACTAGACAATAGCTTCAAACCACAAAATAAATAAAGACCAGAAGTAAAGGTAATTGTATAAGTAGATATAACAACAGTTTAAATAGATATTTTCTCATTTGTAACTCTTCCCTCCTATATGATTTAAAAGACAACTGCATAAAGCAATAATTATAAATCTATGTTAAGGGGCATACAGTGTATAAACAGTAATATGTATGACAATGGTAGTATAAAGGAAAGGGTGGTAGTGGAGCTATATAGGAGCAAAGTTTTGTATTAGGTTGGTATAAATTCTAACTGTATTGTTATGTTAAGATTTTTTTAAAAAATATATCTTTATTGATCTCAGAGAGAGGAAAGGAGAGGGAGAGAGAGAGATAGAAACATCAATGATGAGAAAGTCATTGATCGAACCCGCAACCCGGGCATGTGCCCTGACTGGGAATCAAACCCCTATCGCCTGGATCCCAGGTCGACACTCAATCGCTGAGACACGCCTGGCTGGGCTTATGTTAAGATTTTAAATATGATCCTCGGGGGAACCACTAAGAAAAGAACTTAAAATAGAGTAAAAGATTTGATAAGATAATTAAAATGCTACACTAGATGATATCTATTGAACATAGAAGAAGGCAGTGTTGGGGTAATAGACGGACAAAAAACATAAGACATAGAAAACAAATAGTAAAATGGCAGACATAAACCCTACCTTACTGATGATTGTGTTAAATAGAAAATGATTACATACTCCAATAAAAAAGAGATTGGTAGGGTGGGTAAAATGCCATGATCCAACTATGTTTTGTCCATAGAAGACACAATTTATATTAAAGGATACAAATAGGTTGAAAGTAAAAGATGGAAGAAGATATAGCATGTAAACAGTAACCAAAAGAGAGCTGGAGTGACTATTCTAACATCAGACAAAACAGATTTTAAGATGAAAATTGTTCTTAGATGCAAGAGGTACATTTTATAATGCTAACAGGGCCAATCTGTCAAGGAGATACAGTCATTTAAACTTACAATGCTCTAACAACAAAGACCAAAAACACGCAAAGCAAAAACTGATAGAACTGAAGGGAAAATAGACAATTGGAGAATAATAGTTGATCTCGGTACTCCTCTTTCAATAATGGATAGAAGAACTAGGCAGAAGATCAACGAGGAAATAAAAGACCTGAGCAACCAACAAGCCCTAATAGACATCCACAGAGCACCCCACCCAACAGCAACAGCATACTTACTCCTCTTGCACATGGAATGCTCTCCATGTGTTAGGGCCTAAAACAAGTCTCAGTTAATTTACAAGGATTGAAATTCTAAAAAACTATGCTCTCTGGTCACCATAGAATGAATTTAGAAATCGATAACAGAATGAAGTTTGGAAAATTCACAAATATGTGGAAATTAAACAATACATTCCTAAGTAACCAATACATCAAAAAAAATTGCAAGGGAAATTAGAGCAAAAATTGGAAATTGAGATAAAATGATCTCTGAGAGCTTCAAAAAGTTGTGTTTGTGTAGAGCACAATTGGCAGAATATCATTCCTGGGGGACACAATGCTCTGGAAATCCTGCTGGCGGGGGTCAGGGAGCAGGGACCATGCTGAAGTGGGCTTTTCCCCCCCAATCTCCAATTTAAGACCCAAGTCTGACCTGGAGGCATCTGCTTCTTGTTTTGATTATGAGATTTCCCAGCTGGGGTTCCAATGTTGGGGTTCACACATACCAATAAAGTGCCAGCACTCCCTGTGGTCAACCAGCTAATTGGAAATTGATTTCCTTCCTCCTTGCTGGTGTATCTCACCTCCTGGTTCATTTATTGCAGCTTCTTCAGCTTCCAGAGGTGCTTGCCTGGTGTGTAGGGTGGGATTGGGGGGCATGTATGAGACTGGGTGATGGTATGGGGTTCTGGGAGGAGAGGGGGCTAGACTGGGTGTCCCTTGTCATTATCTGCTGCAGTCCCTTCTCTGTGGTGTTTCTGAAATCCTGTTGGCAAATGTCCCCTTGCTCCTTGGTGGCGGCGGTGTGTGTGTGTGCCTTTCACATACACTCTCTCAGCAATAGGAACAAAAGAATTTCAAGATCTTTATTTAGGTGTATATAAAAAAAAATACAGTACGTTTCATGCACCAGTGTGGTCAATATATAGTCAATATCCCTAGAGCAATTATGACAATGATAGGAAATAGAAGGTTATAGGAATCTGTTTATTCAACTAAAACACATGACTAAAAATTGTTAACCTAAATAGCAACCTTATTATGCAAAAAGTCTTATTTTATACGTTTGTGAGAGCTAGGAATGTGTAAGTATTATTAGTAAAAAACATATGTATAAAAAACTAGTTATTAGTTAAAAATAAAGTCAGTGTTATCTACAATCCCCTGATGTGTAAGGGGCCTTCAGAGTGGGAACCTTAGTCATGATCAAGGGTGAGTTGGAGGGTTTGCCTCCACCCCTGTCCCCTCCCTCTGAGTGATTCCACTTCTCCCAGGTGTGCTTGCAGTGGACTGTTTCCTATGTGGCGAGAGGGGAGATGCACAGAACACTATAGGACTTGGGTAGGGTAGGGGCCTTGCCTTCCACAGGCTGTGCCTGAAGGATGGGGCCCTGCTGGGGTTCCCTGAGATGTGGCAACAACGAGGTGTAAAGGCAAATGGTGTGGCTCCATCGTGCAGTCATATTTGGGCTTGGACATTGGCCGGAGCTGCCAGTTGCTACGGATCACATCTTGAGTGCCTCTGAGTCAAGGGGTAAGGGGGAGAGAGAGAGAGAGACAGGGAAGAGAGAGCATGGATGAAGGGCCAGGAGAGGCAGAGATGGGAAGAGGTGTTCTGTTCCCAGAACATCAGTTCCCACTTCCCAGGCAAAACTAGAGGAGTGTCAGTGAGTCTCAAATTGGGATCACTGCTACTCTAGGCCCTCTCCGGAGGGCATGGGTGTGGAGGTGGCCCTCACCCTATGATCTCACATGGTCTCCAGTGTGCCTCAGGATGCATTCACAGTTGCTTCAAAGTTCAGCAAGCCATTTCCCTGACTTTGGTTGAATTTTCAATGCTCAGTCCAGTATAGTAACCAGTGTGGCAGGCAAGTGAGGTCACCTGAGGACCCAAGGTTGATAGCTGCCAAGGGCCCCTTCTTCCTCTTGACAGGCCTGGAGAGGGGCCCAGGAGTGGTAGGGGACTTGGGAGGGTGTGAGGAAGTTGAAGCAGGGCAGGCGTGATGGACGGTCCCAAGTATCCCTTTGGACTGGGCTGCAGGGAGTGTCACCCACAGATCATTGCTGTCCTGCCCTTGCCTCCAGGAAGACAGGCACCAGGGCCTTGCCAGGGGATTTAGGGACCTCAGGGGAAGACCTCTCCTTGGTAGTTGAACATAAGCTCTTTGAGGAGCCAGAGAAAAAGTCTTTGGGTTGGACCTGTGGTCTCTGGTGACAGGGTTATGTGGACGTCCAAGCGCAGACAGACCACTAGCTTGGATTTTCCAGCATTTTTGGGGTAGCCATCACTGTTCCTGGACATGTCAGGGTCCTAGAGTTTGCTGCCCAAGGTGGCGAGGTCTCTGGGACCCACAAGGAAGGGCTGCTGGGCTGGGGTGCCAGTGCTGTATTCCAGGGCTCAGGGCCTGGTGTCCAGCTGGCTGGAGCCGCAAGTGATTTGGGTCCCCAGGCCCAGAGGCATGTGGCCCCTAATACGCCAGCTCCTCCCGGGAGTCCATGCTGTACAGCTCCGCCAGCATCTTGAACCTCGGCCCCCAGTCGTTGAGGAAGTCGTAATCGATGTCCGAGTCGGAGGAGTCGGTGCCCAGGGAGCTGAGGGACTCGGCGATGGACTCGGAACCCTCGTAGTCGAACAGGTGCAGCGTGTCGAAGGGCAGGCTGCTGCTGTCGTGGTCTGCCTCGTCTTTCTTTACCTCGATCACAGTGGCCATGTCCCCGAGCTCCCCAGGCTTGGTGGGGGGCAGGTGCCGCGGTGGCTTCCGCACCTGGGCGTACAGGGAGGGCCGCACATCCCGCGTGGACCGTGGCGGCTTGGGCCCGCCGTGGCGCACCGAGTTCAGCACCGACACGTCGTAGCTGGTGGTGTCCATCTCGCCGCCGCCCTCCTCGTCGTAGGTGACCAGCTGCTCGTGGATCTCGGTCACGCTCTTGCCATGGGCCCGGGCTTGCCTCCGGAGCCGCCTCCGCAGGAAGATGAGGAGGGTGATCACTGCCGGTGAGCAAGCAGTGGGTTAGAGGGAGTTAGACGTGGCCCAGCCACTGGCCGCCTCGACCCTCCGGGTCTCAGCTGCACCCTCCTCTCTTCCCCAGGAATCCCTCCAACTTCCCAGTGGCATCCCAGCCCAACACAGGTTTGCTTTGGTTCAGACACCTAGTGGGCCCACCTCCCCACTTCCCTGGGATGGAGTCTCTGCCCCACCCTGTCCCCATGTCGTCCTGACTGGCTGTCGCTGCCACTGGTAGGGGTGGGAAGGGAGAGGTGCCGAGTGGGCCTCCCTCAAGTTCGTTCTCAGCCTCATTTCCTCCCTTCTTTTACCACCGTGGCAAATCCTCTGTCGCTTAAAAACAAACCCCCAGATTATTTCTGTGTGCATGTGTCTGTGTGTTTTTAATTGATTTTAGAGAGAAAGAGGAAGGGAGAGGGAGAGAGACAGAGAGAAACATGGATGTGACAGAGAAGCATCGATGCGTCTCCTCCTGTATGCATCCCAACCAGGGATCACACCTGAAACCCAGGTATGTGCCTTAACCTGGAATTGAACTGGTGACCTTTCAGTGCATGGGATGACGTCATCCAACTGAGTCACACCGGCCAGGGCATCCTTTGTCACTTTTGAAGGCCAGTAGGACAGAGGTCAGGGCAGAAATGGGCAAAGAGATGTAGCTGGAATTTGGAGAGCAAAGATTCTGGGCCATGGCTTCATTGACAGGTGTGATAATGATAGTGGATAAGGGTGGTGCTGGCAGATGTGGCACTCACTGCAGGAGCAGCGGTCACTCTTCAGCACCTACTGTATCCGTGCTGGCACCCAGGGAGGTGAAGCTGGCAGTCCTGTTTCCCACAGGGGCCTAGGGTAGGGTGCTGGCCCAGGGCTATACTGTGGGCTGGAGGCAGGATTGGACCCGGGTCCCTGACCTCTTCCTCCTCCGGAGCGGCCTCCTCAGTGTCCCCTCCCCTTCCTCCTGGACACTGACCTGTGATGGTGAGAATGCAGAGGAAGATGGCTACCAGCGCCTGGATGCTGACGCCCACCTGGGGGGCTGCCTCCTCGCAGAAGGTGAACTCGCCACGCTCGTTGCACTTGCACACTGTCACGGCCAGCGTGTTCGTGCTTGTGAGGCTCGGCCTCCCGTTGTCCGAGATGAGCACAGGCAGGAGGTGGACCTTGGCACGCTCCCGGTCAAACTGTCCGTACTTGACTCTGATGTTGGCCGTGTTATCTGGAAGCACCAGGGCCTCAGAGTCAGGTTGTGCTGCCTGGAGCGCCTGTCCCCTTGCCCACACTGACAGTGAGGCCTGCCTCCTCCAGAGAGTCCTCCCTGATTGTGCCTGCCCATGTGCCGCCCGGGGTGCCTCTGTGTTCTTTGTACCCCCTGCCTTATGTTTCAGCCATTTGAACACCTGTCTGTTCTTCCAGAGAGGGAATATTTTGGGCAGCTCCGTTGACTTCTAAGAATGACTTGTCCAGAATGTAAAACCTCTGCTTTCTTCTCTGGGCAACTGATATGCCTGACCCCTTCCTTCCTAACTTCACTCTAATAACAGGGGACTCTCTTTCAGATCAGTTAATGAGTGTATTATTTTAAGCCTTGACAAGTAATAAGGGGGGAAATAAAGTTTTAAAAAGTCTTTTAGATCAGGCTAATTTCTGAGACTTTCTGTTATCCCTGCAAATTGATTAGAAAGTAAAAACAATGCTTATGTTTGCGGGGGCACTGAGGGAATGATTACACATGGAATTGAGAATATCTGGGGCGGGCTGGAATTGGGACTGTGCTGTGTCCCTCCGACCTCCAATCAATAGTTTCATGTACAGGAAAACTCCCCAGGGAGCTTTTAAACCTGCTGACTTTCAGACCTGCCTCCCTCCCAGCTGCCTCCTTTCCTTTCCCCCACCCCCCTTCCACATTTCTGATTCAGTGGCTTTAAGCAGAGGCCAGATAGCCTGCCTTTTGTAGACTTCCTGTGGGTCATGATACTGATGGTCAGGGGAGGGTCCGGGGACTCCCTGTTCCAGGGTTTGGAGGGGATATTTGACCGGCTGTGTAGGGTTGGCCCACTCAGAAAGCCAGCCAAAAGCAAAGGAGGCCTTCTTTTAGATTTCAAATAAGAGCCAGTTACATTTCATTATTAAGTAGCCTTGTCTATTATAGTTGAGAGTAAACAGTATGGCTGTGGACACCATGGGAGAAATGAGAGATCTCTCACTACACTCATTTAATTCTATAGCAGGACATTCACACTCTAAGTGAATCCAAGACCAACAGGCTTGCCTCCTGGCCGCACATGGGGTGTCTTTGGGGTGGCACTTAGGCTTTCTACCCCATTGTAGACCTCCTCTGAGATGGGATTGAGGCTGACCTTAGGGACGGGGTGATGGGCATTTGTGCCACATTATTTAATACTAAAGACAGCTGAATGTTGTTGACTGTCAACACGTCATGGCCACTTGCCTTCCCCATCCCACAGGAGGCTGTGGCTGCTCCCCTGGGTCTGCCCCCACTCTCAGAGACCCCACTTCCAGACCTTCTTCATCCTGACTTTGCAATGGCTCTTTCTATACAGGGGTCCTCATCAACCATAGTTTTGCCAATCAGGAATGGGCAGGGATTTCACCCTGTGCTGGGTAAAGGATTGCTCTGTATAGATTAAAGGGGGATTTTTTTTTTTTTTTTCTGTTTTTCTGAGGAAGCAGTTGAAGCGATGGAAACCTGTCTACTGTTGGCTGGAATTCAATCAACTCAGCACAACCACTCTCCTGAGCGCTACTCGTCGGAAGCTCCGATTGGCTACTACGGACATCACAGGACTCCCTGGGCTGTGACTGGTGGACCAGATCCTCTCCCAGGCCCCCGGGGGTGAGTAGTTATTATACTTGAATTAAGACCGAGTTTTCTATATCCTTGGCATTTCAAATTTCACATTTCCGGTTTTGGCTCTTTGGAAGTGGCCTCAAAGTTCCACGTCATAGAGTAGTCAGTGATGGTGCTGAGCTCAGAGATTCTGCCGGAAGGAACCCCTTGGCTAGTTTGTGAATGGAGCTGACTGCACCCCGTATCTATTCCGTAGGCCTAGCATCTTATGGGGAACGGCAGGCCATGTGGGCCTGGCAGTTTGGCCGGGGCCTCTCTGACCAATAAGGTGTGTGGCAGGAGTTGTACAAAATATGCTGTCGCAGGAAAACCCCAGCGAGGGCTTGCCCCCGACCTGTTGGCTTGGGCCTTGACCCTGGAGCTTCAAGACTCAAATAACCCCACCCCTGACCCTCCTAAGAGCCAAGCTAACTCCTTGCATGTGTACGCACCATGGTTATCCACGAGGGTGAAGTTGCTATCCTCGGTGCTCAGGGAGAATTTGAACTTCACGTTCCTTGGTGTTATGTCTTTGTCAGTCGCCGAGATTTGCACCACCAGCTGGAGTGTGGAAGATGAGGGATGGTCAGTGATGGTGTTGGGGTTGTCTGGTGTTCAGTGATGGAGATTTTGGGTTTAGACCATGGCTGCCTCTCACCTGCAACACTCACCTAAATGAGCTCCACGAAGATACTCTTTGTAGCAGCCCCCTCCCCACCAATCTATTCTCCACCTATTTTCTGTGAGCCTCAGTTTCTCCGCCTATGAGGTAGGAATAACGTCCCCTTTCCTCAAGGCTGTTGTGCAGGTTACATTAAGCAACTGACTGTGGACGGGAGGTGCTGCTCTGAAGCCTGTCCCGGGGGCGCCGCCTTGCCCTCCCCCCTGAGCCAGACTCACCATGCCCTGTTCAGCATTTTCACACACTTTGGGCTCATAGGGCTCAGCAAACTCTGGGGCGTTGTCGTTCTGATCCAAAATTTCGATGTAGACCTTTACAATGGATTCTTTGCCTGTGGGGTTCCCTGCAGGGGGAGAGGACTTGTCACCGCAGTGGGCTCAGCTGATGTGGGGATGGGGACTCCTGGAGGGGTGCCCTTTTTATAGGAAGAGGGGGCTGTGGACCTCTGGAAGAGAGGCCAGCGGTGGTATTCTGGATGAAATGAGTGGAACAGGTAGGGGGTCAAGCTTCATGCACAAGGATGCTTACTAGAGAATTGCTTGTAAGGACAAAAAGGTAACCTAAGTGAATTTAAAAAGGTTTTAATTAAATTGAATTAAGTAATCACCAAACTCACCTAATGATTTAATCAAGTAATTAGATGAATTTAAACAAGTATACTTTATTGAATTAAATTAATTAACTACAAAATGACTTAAAAGGTAAACAAGGTAAGTGAGATTGGGTTAGTAAATTATACCAAGAGACACATCAATTGGTTGCCTTCTGCATGTGCCCCAATTGAGCCTGCAACCGAGGTACTTGGCTGGGATCTAACCCGAGACAACTTCAGTCCGTGGGCGGACACTCTAAGCATTCAGCCAAACCCTCTAGGGCTAAGTTATACCACTTCAAAAGAATGGGATATGTGGCCACTTATAATGCCCATGTAAATTACATTTTAAAAATGTAATTTAAAAAAAGATGTTTTACGATCATGAGAAAATGGTTCTGGAATAAGTTTTAAGTGAAAATGGAGGATATGATTTTATGCAAATATTATAAACTTCAGTAAAAATATGTATAGAAAAAGGCCCACATGTATAGAAAGTACACTAAAGTGCTAACAGTAGTTGGCTCTGTGTGGTAGGATTATGTGTGTGTGTAGGGGGAATAATTTTCTTCTCCTATTCTGTACTTTCCATATTTAAAAATAAACAACAAATAACTTCTAAAATTTAAATTACTTTTTAAGTTTAAATTGCTTTTAAATTACTTTAAAAGTAATTAAGTTACTTTTAAAATTAAAAAAAAATTATGACTATTATTAGATGGGGAAGAAAGGGGCAAAGACCGATCTGAAATACACAGGAGTCCTTCAGAGTTGGCCTGGCTGTTCTGTTGGGGGCTGTGGGAGTCTGGGAGCACCCGGCAGGAGGCAGTGGCCTTCCAGGGTAGTACTAGGGGGGCCTTGGCCAAGTCACATCCTCTCCCCTTCTCTGGGTGGTGCTCTCCTGGGTAAAGGGGGAATGTTAACCCTTCTTCTGCAGGGCAGATGTGATTTTCTCATATAGGCAAAGGGTGCCAAACTCCCAACACTTGTTTTCCCCTTTGGCACATATTACGCTGATTTCTGGAGAACCTAACAATTTTGGAGTTAGGAGCTGCTGCAGATTTTCAATTCAACCCACTAACTGAAGCATAAAGAGCCCCCAAAGCAGCCTCTTCCAAAATTCACAATAATAAGAATCATGTGGCACTTGTTCAATGCATATCCCTTGGCCCCATTTCTGGCTCACTGGAGTTGAACCTCCAGGGAGGGGTCTAAGAGGTGCCCTAGGTGATTCTTGTTACAGGCCATTGGCAGCCGTTTTATTAACAGTGCTTCTTAAACTGTGCTCTGCATAAAATTCTGATTCAGCCTGAGGCCGGGGCCTGGCACGCGACCCTTCTAACAAAGCCTCGGGGCATAGGGAGGCTGTTGGTCCATCCACACTCGGGGATGAAGGCTCTGTAGCATCTCAGCCAAGTGGTGCTTCAGTGGGAGCTTAGAACACCTCTAGAGACCCACAGTGACAGATTACGCCAATTTTGAATAAATGAGGGAACCCAGAGAAGCCCAGGTACCCTGGCAGCTGGGACTGCTCACCTCTGGAATCCAGTTCTTTGGCCTCCACAGTCAGGTTGTACCAGGGGTAGACTTCTCTGTCCAGTTCCTTCTCATTGTAAATACTCCCCTGCTTGGTTACTTGGAAGAACTGGCCCTTGTCGCTGGTCCTGCGGATGAAGTATCTGCCAGGGAGACAGAGATTCAAATTTTGTGAAGTAGAAATCTGAACAGTTTTTTCAGAGATCAAAAACAAAGGTATCGAAGAGATGACACGAAAGAGGGAAAATGTAATTATAACATATATATCTACTGAAGAAAATTCCAGAGCAAATGAAGACAAGCAAGCAACAAATCAGCCATTAATGCCTCTTGCTGTTTGTGTGGTCATGGAGAAAGGTGAGATAGGACCACACCAAACATGAGCTTGGTGGACAGGAGATACTTGGGAGTGGGGGTTACTGATGTTTCTTTCTCCATCTTTGGGTTGTTTCTGTGTGAAATGAACACTTTTTCCTCCTGTGGTTTTGGGAAGGCAAATTTAACAAAACCTGTTTAGTGGAGAGGACTTACATACGTTACCTAGTTGGTTGCCTCTTGGCCATCAGAACCTCCCTAGATGGGGCCTGTGGGAGCCAGGGTCCAAAGAACAGACCTAGGTTGAGAGCTCTTACGGCCAGGGCCATGCTAGGTGGGTGCTCAGGCGGGACAAGGTCCCAGGTGGCCACGTGGGCCAGTGGAAGAGCTTGGGCTGCTAGTCCTGCATGTGCCATTTCCCGCACGCGTGCTGGGAGAAGCGGGTTTCTCCTTTGAGTCTGCGTCTCAGTCCAGCAGGCAGAAGGACCTCAAGGCCAGGGTTGTGATGATCATCACCTTCCTCACACCCTCCTTACCCAATGCTCCTCCGAGCGGCATCCGGGTCCATGGCCAGCACCGAGCCGATCAGAGTTTTCTTCATGTTCTCCTGCAGCTGGAAGTGGTAGAAGGGCTTCTGGAAGACAGGGGGCTCGTCCACATCTGTGACATTGATGGTGACCCGGGCCTTGTTTCTGGGGGAGATGCTGCTTGAGTAGCGGAGGTTGATGGTGGGGTCCGTGGCCTCGATGGTGAAGCTGTATTGCTGGATGTGTTCATAGTCCAGGGGCTGTGGGATGGAAAAGTATGGGGAGCCCCTGGTCAGAGCCAAGCATGTGGCATGTGATCTTCACAGTGATCCTGTCAGGTAGTTCTGGGATGATACCCATTTTACAGATGAGGGGCCTGAGGCCTGAAGAAGTGATATTTCCAAGGTCATCAAGAGAGTGGCTGGGCCTGGCTATCTGCAGCTGCACCCCTCCCCCCCCAATCACTTTTCAGCGGCTTCGTTGCTACACCTTCAAGCCTGGCTCTGTGCCTGGCCCTGTTCCAAGTGTTGGGACACACAGGGATCAGCCCCAGTCCTGCTCTCAAGGGGATCAAAGATTAGTGGTTCTAGCCACAGCTCCTTAAGGATGAGTCTTTTCTTATGTTTTTGCTCAAGAATCTTCTCCTGCCCTTGCCTGCTTAGTACTTTCCTATGCACCACTTCAGAAGCTAATTCAAAGGTAATCAGATGTTCTCTCAGCACCCATCCTTGCCCCTCCTAACACAGGAAATTGTTCCTGTCTTTTCATGCTTCCCTGCTCACTGAGAACTTTGGTAGCGTGGAGGCTGACTGACTCCCTTAGGTGTCTCCAGTCCCCAGCGCAGGGCTGGGCCAGAGACAGACTCAGGAGAGGTTTGCTGGGGGTCTAGCTCGGGCAGAGGGGTTCCGGAGTGTCCCATCTGAGGTGGGTCACCCCTGGCTCACACTCCTAGTCCTCTGCATGGACATTCTGGAGGCACTTTGTGCCCTGGCAGTATTGCCTCTTCCAGATTCAGTTGGTCTGACCGCTGTCTGTCAGCAGGCACTGCCAGTGGCCACCAACATCCCCATGGTGCTTACTGTTTCCGTACGTGCCCACGACTCTCTGCTGCAAGCAGCTTTAGCTCTCCTGGTGCTCTAGTGGCCAGGGCCCAGGGCAGGCTGGAAAGTGCCAGGGAGTGAATGTCCCTAGGAGCAGCCCTTGGTCCACACCACAGCTTCCCCACCCTCAGCTGCTACAACTCTGAGGCAGCCCTTTCCCAGATGTCCCCAGTGGGACTGGGACCCCATTGCCCACAGTGGAAACCTGGTCACTAAGGAGTCCCACACCATCTTCTTTCTTTCCACGTGTCACTGTTCCTGGGGCTTCCTGGGAACACCTCCCAAATACACTATTTGTACCAGATCCCTGCCTCACCCCAGCCTAAGGCACCAATCCTTCTGGCTCCCCTGTCCCAGTCTCTGTGAGCATAAGGCTAGCCCAAGCTGACCCAAATGTGCACCTCTGATGGCCTCTGACCTGGTAGCCGCCCCTGAGTGAGTTGTGTGGATGCTGGGAGCCCCCAACCCCACCCCACATCTGTCCCCGTTGCTCCAGGCCCGCAAACCTTCATGGGCTTGATGATGCCCTCATTGTGGGTGGGGTCCGTCTCGATGGCGAAGGTGTCCCTGTACTCTCCCTGCACGATGCTATACTTGGTCTTCCGGTTCTGGGGTTCGTCTGGGTCCTCAACAAACAGAGAGCCCAGGGGGCTCCCCACACGGATGTCTTCAGGCACCGTAAATACGTACTTGGCTGATGCAAATAGGGCACCCCAAAGGGCACTGGGTTAATGAGATAGACAAGGCGATTGTCCCTCCTACGACCCTAACATATTCTGATATAGGAAATGGGCATGGAAAAATAATAATAAATAATAATGCCACAGGAATTTTGAATCCCAAGGCAAACTGGTTCTGCTCTATTTGTTCATCCATCCATCCATCCATCCATCCATCCATCCATCCATCCATCCATCCAACTAGTTATTGAGCACCTCCTGTGTGCCAGGCACTTTGCTAGGGGTTATACATTGACAAGAGAGACAGGGAGACAAGTCCTGCCTTCAGGGAGCTTATGCCATACACAATGAGACCACTTCAGGAAAACTGGCCTGTCCTTGGGGTGGCTGAGCCTCTGAATTATGCTTCAGCTTTGGAGGGTTCAAGTGAGGAGCCATCTAACTTCCTCCCCAGCCCCACCCGGGGCATGTGAAAAGCTCTTGTCAGACATTTTTGGAGAGAATCAGTCTGTGGGTGGGGTCAGTGTCCTGAGGCAGGGAGCAGTAAGACAGCCTTGGGAATGTGTGCAGGGATGGGGCGCAGGACCTCTCCCTTCACCAAAATGACTTCCCTGGGTCTTAGGCTCACCCTGGGGTGGGAGGAGAGGTAGAGGGACTTTGCCGAGAGCCCCCAGGTCACAGAGTCTGGAGCATTCCACCCCCTGCCCTCCACAGGGTCCCAGGGGAGGGGCTCACTCTGGGTGAAGATGGGGAAGTTGTCATTGATGTCCTGCAGAGTGATCAGCACAGTGGTCGTGCCTGATTCCCCCTGGAGGCCCTGGGCATCACGTGCTTCCACCACGATCTCGTACCTGGCCTGCGCCTCTCGGTCCAAGTTGTTGACTTTTGTGGAAATGAGTCCTGCAAAAAGTATCCCAGCAGGAGCTGTGTTACCTGGGGAGCTTGTAGAAAATGCTGGTGTCCAGGCCCTCTCCAGCGAGCACCTGACTATAAAGTGCCCCAAGTCATTCCAATGTGCAGCCAGGGCTGAGGGGCACTGGTCAACCACCCCCGGCCTCCACGCCCTGCACTTCAAGGCCAAAGCTGCCCAGTATGGTCCAATATTCGCCTTAGCTGCCTGGAGCACTGTGCTGAGAAAGTGCAGGAGGCCACCTCTAGGCTCAGCATGGAGAGACAGCTGTGACGACCAGTAATGCCCGCCTTGTGCCTCACAGGGTGTGGTGGTGTCTGTGCTGTGTATTTGCCATCCCTCCAGGCCTGTCTTACTTCCAAGACTCAGTCTTTACAGTTATTAAAATCACACTGAGTGGATAATTACAATGGGCTGTGTGCTCTCTCTCTATTTTCTAATTCAGTCTTCACAGCTACCGAGCGGGATGAACGTAAGCATTCCCATTTTGGATGAGGGAACTCAGGCTTGCAGAGGTTAGTTGATTTGCCTGAGGTCTGTAGAGAGGGTTAGTAGGAGAGCTGGGCTTGGAAGCCAGGTCAGTCTGAACCTGCACCCAGGGCTGCTAACCAGCTTTCACTCCTGCCTCCCGTGTCACTGCTTGGTCCCCTGGACTACAGTCCACATCTTGGGCACCTGTCTATTTCCTTCTGCCTTCACCAGCCACCTTGTCTTAATGTTCCATACTGACCACCTCTGTAGCACAGTGTTGCTCAGTGGTCGGTGACACCTGTCAGACTGGACTTCCCTGGGCCCCTGCCCCTGTAATATCCGTCCCACCCCACCTCTAAGCCACAGGAGGGTTAGTCACACAGACCAGAGTTCGAGATGCCAAAATATTCATCTCCTTTCAGGATTCGGTACATGACAGTGGCATGGTCTGCAACAGTGGGGTCATCTGCGTCCACTGCAGTCACTTTGATGACTGAGGTCCCTGTGGAGAGAGAATCCAGGGGTTGTAGCCTTGTGACTGTCAGTCCCTACCCCATCCCCAGGTGAGGGCAGATGGGGCTCAGGGTGTCCCCTGACCCTACTTCCCCCAGGTCCTGAGGGAAAAAGGCTGCTTTGTTTATTGAAGAGCCTGCATGGGGGCAAAGTGCTGGCAGGGGTTGAGGCCCAGCCTGGTCAGCCTTGAAGGGTGCAGAGAACGGTTGGTTTTCATTTATGGGGGAAATGAGGGAGGGGTGCATGGTTGGGGTCATGAGGAGAAACCTAGGAGAGAGGGGCTGATTCTTTCTTCCCCCAGAAGGGTGGCAACAAGGGAATGGGAAGGTACCCCCAAAGGGGTGGGTGTCACAACTCTTTTTCCCTTGAACACCAGGATCCCCGTACTTAGCAGGAAGGTCTGGTCGCAGGGCCTTGGCCAGGGCCCTGGACTGAGGGGTGGGGAAGGGAACCCTTTTCTATCACTTCCTGGAGGCTTGGGGTAGAATTGAGGAATGGATAGTAACCTCTGGAGGTCCGTAGTCCAGGCTGGTGACACACCTTGGGGTGAAGGCTCTAGTCCTTCCCCCTCTACTCCTGCATGGATCCCAGAGAGGACTCTTCTTGCCTTGGTGGCAGAGTTGGCATTATTCATGTGCAGAAGCTATGCTCTTGTGTCAGTCCTGAGAGTCAGAGCAGTAGGTGGGGCTTGCTCTAAAGAGTAATCAGATCTGTGTGTCTCTGATGGTGAAGGCTCAGCCCATAGTTAGGGCCAGGGCTCAGTCTATGATCAGGATCAGGGCTCAGTCTATGACTCAGGGTTCAGTCTATAATCAGGATCAGGGCTCAGTCTATGACTAGGGTCAGGGTTCAGTCTATGATCAGGATCAGGGCTCAGTCTATGACTAGGCCCAGGGTTCAGTCCAGGATGAGGATCGGGGCTCAGTCTATGACTAGGGTCATTACAATCACTGCTCTGAACTCATTGACTCCTGGCCTCAGGAGGTGAAGCTGCTGATGGAGAGGTGCCTTCAGGCTGGGGATAAGGGAGGGAGAGGAGAGAGGGACAGAGGGACAGACTGAGCACATACCCACAGCCGACATCTCAGACACAGATGCGTTGAAAAACTGGTGAGTGAACACAGGCCAGTTGTCATTCACATCGTGAACTTTGATGGTGAAGCTGGAAGGTGACTCCAGGTCCCTCTTGGTGTCCTTGTCCACTATGAGGGCAGTGAGGTGGTACTCGGAGACCTTCTCCCTGTCTAGTCTCTCAAAGGCATACACGTCTCCTGTGTTCTCATCGACCCTGAAGACCTTGTCGGCAGCATCTCCCCTGAGCAGGTACTTGGCGTTCTTGCGGTTCGCGCTTGATTTGATCTGGGAGGGAGAGAAGAGGTGCTCTGAGCCGCAGTGGGCAGTGGTGGCTGTGTGTGTGTGTGTGCACATGCGAGCGTGCAAGCACACGTGTACATGTATGTACGCACATGCACATTTGTGCATGTGAGCGTGTGGTGCTGGCCAGGGATCCTAAATGTGACACTGCAATTTTTAAAAATTAAAGTGTAGTTGACATGCAATATTAGTTTCAGGGGTACGACACAGTGATTAGACATTGATATTCCTTATGATGTGATTGCGACAATAAGGCTAGAAATCATCTGTCACCGTACAAAGTTATTACGATAATACTGACTGTGTTCCTTATGCTGTACATTACATCCTCATGACTTAATTATTGATTTATAACGAGGTTTATATCTCTATTCCCCTCCACCCTTTCATTCATTCCCCCCGCTGCCCTCCCCTCTGGCAATCATCAGTTCTCTGTATCAATTAGTATCTATGAGGATTTTTTCTGGTGTGTTCGATCTGGTTTTTTTCTTCTTCTAGATTCCACATGCAAGTGAAATAACATGGTGTTTGTCTTCTCTGACTTACTTCACGTAGCATACTAGCCTCTAGGTCCATCCATGTTGTTCCAAATGGCAAGATTTGGTTCTTTTTTATTGCTGAGTAATACTCCATTCTCTCTCTATACCACATCTTTATCCACTCATCTGCTGATGGACACCTACATTGCTTCTATATTATGGCTATTGTAAATAACGCTGCATGAACATAGGGGTGCATATGTATTTTCGAATTAGTGTTTTTGTTTTCTTTGGATAAATATCCAGAAATTGCAGGATCATGTGGTAGCTCTATTTTTAATTTTTTGAGGAACCTCCATGCTCTTTTCCATAGTGGCTGCACCAGTTTATATTCCCACCAACAACAGTGCATGAGGGCTCCCTTTTCTCCGCATCTTCACCAACACTTGTTATTTGTTCCCTTTTTGATAATAGCCATGCTGACAGGTGTGAGGTGATATTTCATTGTGGTTTTAATTTGCATTTTCCTGATGGTTAGTGATGTTGAGCATCTTTTCCTATGTCTGTTGGCCAAGAAAGAGTGGGTCTCGAGACGGAAAAGGGAGCGTCAAGAAGGGTGTGGTCAGTTCCCATGAGGTCTGGGCAAGTCCCTAGGGTTTAGCAGTCATTGGACTTCTTGGTGGGAGCAGCAGCAAGGGGGTGGTGGGGTAAGAAGCCAGATAAGAGAGTGTAGGAAAGTCTGCAAGGCGAGGAAGAGGAGACGGAGTGAGGACACTGGCC